TTACCTGCTAAATGCATCTCAAATCTGTACTTCCACCGCCCTGGGTCTAAGCCACCATCATTTCTTGCCTGGTCAGCACTGCAGCCACCTACCTGTCTTACTTATCATGTCAATTCATTCTCCTCAGAGGGGTTTTCCTAAGATATAGCCAGAGGGATTTTCTTAAGATGTAAATGTCATCCCCAGTGGCTGCCCATGGCACTGAGAGTAAATCTAACTTCCTTGCTGTGGTCAATACAGTCTCCCCTTACCCGTGGTTGCGCTTTCCGCCATTTCAGTTACCCATGGCCCAAAAATATTCAATGGAAAGTTCCAGAAATAAACAATTCATAAGTTGTAAATCGCGCACCATTCTGAGTAGTGTGATGAAATCTCCTGCCATCCCGTTCTGACCCAAGGGCTGTGAATCATCCCTTACTCAGTACATATCCACGCGATACATATGCTACCTGCCCATTAAGTCACTTTGTAGTCATTCCTGTTATCAGATCTGCTATAGCGGTATTGCAGAGCTTGTGTTCAAGTAACGCTTATTTTACTTGATAATGACCCAAAGTGCAAGAGTAATGATACTGTCAATTCAGATATGCCAAAGAGAAGTTATAAAGCGCTGCCTTTAAGTGAAAAGGTGAAAGTTCTTAACTTAATAAGGAAAGAAAAAAAATCCTATGCTCAAGTTGCTACGATCTATGGTGAGAATAAACCCTCCATCCATGAAATTGTGAAGGAGAAGAAATTTGTGCTAATTTTGCTGTCACATCTCAAACTGCATAAGTTACAGCCACAGTGTGTTGTTCTAAATTAATATTTAAGATGGTAAAGGCATTAAACTATCATAGGTATGTATGCGTAGGAAGAAACATATTATAGTATATATAGAATCCAGTACCAGCCTGTTTCAGGCATCCACTGGGGGACTTGGAACGTATCCCTCGGGAATACAGTGGGGACGACTGTGTAATGCTCCCTGGCTGGAACTTGGCTTCTCACTCCTCTCTTCCTCATGGTGAGTGAAACCAAAAGGAACTAGCATTTCCAAGTAATGTCAGAAAGCTGCCAGATCTGTCTCTACCCTCTTTCCTACAGCTGGGATGTTGTCCTCCCCTGGGAAGAAGTTCCCCAACTCCGTTCCTGCCACCCCGGCCACCCTGGCCTTCTCTCTGGTCCCTGACCACACCAGCTCTTTTCCCACCTCAGAGCCTTTACATGGCCTGTACCCTCTGCCTGGAACGCCCTTACTCTAGCTCTTCTATGGCTGGCTCCTTCTCATCATTTGAGTCTGAGATTAACTGTTGTGCTCTGACTATCCTAACTAGAGAAGGTTCCCCTCTGAGAGTCTCCATTTTGGCTTTTTGTTTGTTTTTGTCATTGTCTTTGCCACACTGCATTTATTTGATTGTTTACTTGCTTTTTGTGTCTAGTCCACCGTTTGTCTTCCTAGTGCTTGGTGCATAGTTAACGCTCAGTAATGAGAACGTTGTTTGTTGATGTTGATAATAGTAATAGTTCATGGAATACCTGGAACAAAGCTGAGCATTAATTCCCAACCATGTTGTGCCAGAAGGGACAAGGATTACCCCCACACCTCAGGTAGAAAAAGTGGCCCGGAAATGTTAGGGGACCTGCCTGAGGCCATCAGCCTTCTAAGTGGAACCCAAGTCTCCTGACTCCTGGTCAAGTGCTCTTCCGCGGCAGAAGTAAAGAGTGATGTATTCTGAAGGAGAGGCATATGGCAGTGTCAGGCCAGGTTGCTGTTCCTAAATTCTCCGACTTTACCCACCAGTTTTTTACTGGGAAGCCTGACTTCCACATCCCTGCCTCCAGAAAGGGATGAGAGGGAACAGGGTAGGTCTGGGCTCTCAGGCGAAGGAGCACCACTTCTGCCTTTTGCAGAGCAAACACTCCTGGAGGTGGGCTTGGCCCCTTTAAATACCATAGAGATGAGCTGGGAGTAGTGGTGCTGACTGTAGGAGCAGGTTGGGATCCTGGAAGGCTCCCTGGGCTTCATCTGCATCAGAATTGAGGCCAGCAGCAGTGTGTGGATCCAAAACCATCTACACACACTGCATGTCATTGTGTGCACCGTGTGTGTGTGTGTGTGTGTGTGTGTGTGTGTGTGTGTGTTTCTGTCGGGTGGGTTGTTCAATTGTGTTCTGAGAGTTGCCCCCATCCCTGAATTTTTTTAACTTATGAATTACTTTGATATTTGAGATGAAGCCAGAAGCACACATCTTTGTCTGCATTTAAAAACTTCTGGAGGGCCAGCCAAGTGGCTCAGTTGGTTAAGAGCTCACTCAAGAGTGCGAGCTCTAAGCAACAGCGGTTGGAGTCCTGGCCTGAGCTGAGCTGCCAACAGGTGGCAGGTTGGCTCAGCTAAAAAAAAACCAAAAAAACTTTTGGTAAAGATTTATAGTTTTTTTCTTGAATCTTGTCCAAGAAAGTGCAACTGACATTAATGTTGTTTCAGGGCTGGCTGAGTGGTGCGATGGTTAAGAACTGGCTTGGGACGCCAGAGGGCCCCGGTTCGGATCCCACATATGAGGGCCAGTGACACTGCCCTCCACAGCTAAGATGCTGAATAACAGCTCAACCTGGAGCTGGGCTGCCGTGAGTCGCCGGCGACGGCGTAGGCTGCAGCCCCTGCTGCAGTGGGTTGCCATGGGCTACCGTGTGTAGCCAGCAGCCAGCGTGAGAGGCCAGCAGCCGCAGTGAGCGGCCGTCCAGAAGCTGGTGACTGATCTGCCTCGCCCGGGAAGAGCGCAATGATGGTGCCAACTTGGGCCAGTGAAGCAACGTCCTCCACAACTAGACTGAAGAACAAAACGACAGCAGCTTGTCTGTTCCCCTTCCCCCAATTCCCCAGCACTGTTCCCATCCCCCCAATTCCCCAGTAAAAATCTTAAAAAAAAACCAAAAACAATGTTGTTTCAATTTTCTGATCACACAAAGGATGCAGAAATGATCACATCTCTTGTTTAAGGGACCTGGTGACATCAAGTCCAGGCTGACCACTGCATTCAAGGCCCTTCACACCATGGTCCTGTTCGAGCTCCCACCCTCAAACCTCTCACCACTCCCCAATGTGCTCCTTGCCTGGCTAACCTTCTTCCCTTGGCTGGTCTGACCTTCCTCCTGGAGTCCCCTAATCGCCCAGTAAGACTCAGTTGGAACATTCTGGCCCTTATGAAGACTGGGATGATCCCCGAGACTTGGTCTCTATGTCACCTTCTGAGACCTCAGGGCAATAGGGTACTATTTCCATTATTGAACCTGTTATGGTCTTGGACATGTGTTTACATGTGAGCCCCTTGAAGCAGGTTGGGGGTCTTTATATTAATATGACCTACCACAGTACCTGGCACACTGGAGGTGCTCAAAAAATGTTGGGTGTAGTTAGGGCACTGTGGTTAAGCACCTACGTTCTGAAGGCAGAGGCCTCCGACTGAATCCTACAGCTGCCTCTTCCTTCCTGTGCTCCTCTCTGAGCCTCAGTATCTTCATCTGTAAAATGGGGACTCAGTGATGGCACCCACCTCACAGGGTGTGTTGCAGGGGGTGGGAAGATGAGTGATGGATGTAGAGCACTCAGCACAGTGTCTAGCCTCCAAAAGTGCCCAGTAAACGGCAGCTATTACTAACATGAAACCTGAGGTCTGATCAACCACCTCCCAGGAAGGAGCCCTGGGTTTGCGTCAGTGCCTTGTTCCAAGAGAGAACAGGCTCTTAGAAGGGCTGCCCTGGGCTTGGTGGGGGCGGGGCACGCCTTCCTGCCCTTGGCAGACCCACCGTTTCTCCCCAGGGCCTTGATCATAAATCCCATTCAGGCTCGGCTAGCCCTTTCCTGCACTCCACACACAGGATGTATTACTCGATTTTAATTAAATCACACACAATTCAGGGCACCAGGCCCCACCCACTTCATTGGGGACCACCTGGGATTGTGGGGGGACTGAAAGGGGATGGTGCGAAGACCCGTTCTCCCTAGATTATCCCTGTGGGGACTGAAAACATAAAGAATTAACCCAAGGAGATAACAGGTGAAACAAAATGCCCAACAAAAAGGGACAGGGGTGAAAACTACCCTGAGGCCAGGAGGGTGTGGTGAGGGGACAATCAGGTTCTTTCAGCCCTGACCTCAAGGAAGAATGCAATTATTCACTGATCAGGGCAGAGGCTAAGAGGCCAGTTTACAACACCTGTCCCTCAGAGAACTGGGGGGCCCAGCACAGCTCAGGTAGAAGGCTTTGAACAGGGACACTGCTCCACCAGCCCCCCCACACCAGAAGCTCTGGGGGAGGCAGAGTTGTGAGACGTGGCTCCTGGTTCCACTTCCAGGAGGCCATTACTTGAGCCATGCAGTTGTGCCAGGTGCTGGGAGACAGAGGAGTGAGGCAGATAAAATCAGTATTAGGAATTAGGGAGGGTGTGAATGGCTCTGTTTAACCTGTAAGATGTGTGGTTGCCCATGTTCAAGAGCTGCAAACATGGGGTGCAGATGGTGGGGAAAGGGCACTTTCCCATGATGTACTCTATTCCCAGGCCACTTCCCAGTGGCCCCTGGGGGTGCCAGGGCCAGGCATGGGTACAACTGATCCTTTGCCCGCTTCCATAGGGCCTGCTGGTCCCTTTCCTCCCTCTGCCCTGCCCCCCACTTCCCTCCAAAGGAAGCCTGGTTTGTGGGGCCAAAGCTGTGCTGCCTGCTCTGAGACCCAGAATGTGAGGTATCCCAAATCCCTTCGGTTGGTCTGTGGTGGTGTCATATCCCCATCTCCCTGAGTATAAGTGAAGACTTAATGTCTTTGCCATACTGTCCCTTAAAGGTTGTGGCCTATCCCCAGCCCCAAAGGTAATGTGGAGGTAGAAGGCCCTGGGAGGGGGGCAGGAAGGGGTGCTGCCCCTCTCTTACTCCCTGAGAGCTAGTGCTCTTCCAGAGAACCTAACTGGCTGTTCCCTAGGGGAGGACAAAACCCCAGAAATAGGAAAAGGGGGCAGAGACAGGATTGGCAACTTTCCAACATTGCTTAAAAACACTGGTTCCATTTCAGCCACCAGATTCCCATCAGGTCTGTAAACAATACCCCCTCCAGGCCACCCTCTCCGGGTCCAGAGAGACGCCTTCACTGCGTTCATGGGCATTTTCGCCGGGCCAGGCGGGGCCCTCCCAGGGTCCCCGCAGGAGCTCACACGCTCAAGCTGCTCTTCTCATCCTCTTTGGGGCTGGGCTCCTCCTGAACCTTCTTCATCTCCCAGCCCCTGACCCAGGTGTAGGCGGAAGAGCCTCCCAGCACCATCATGTTGCTTGTCCACCAGAGAAAGCTCTTGGTCTCCTCATAGTAGAGGATGGCCAGCACCGTCTGGGCACAGGACTTGGCCGTGCCGGACACGTTGTGGGTCAGGGGACTGGTGAACTTGATCTGCAGTCCTGTCACGTAGCCGATGGCAAAGCCAAACAGGCCCCCCAGCGTCATCATGCCCCAGAAGTGGCCACTGCCCAGGTGGGCAAAGTGGCGAAGGGCCTGCAGCTCCCCCAGCAGCAGGAGAAGCGGCAGGAAGAGGACGCAGGCATTGACGTTGTTGTAGAAGGTCAGGCGCCAGATGCTGCCGTCCACCGCTGGGAGCACCTTCTTGGTGTAGATGGCGTTGAGCGAGACGCAGAGGCTGGCTAGTACGCCAAAGAGGGTGCCTGTCCAGGACAGGGTACCTTCTGCCTCCTCCTGGTCCACACCAAGCCAGAAGCCACCTGTAGTGGGGAGAGAAGGCGAGGGGATGAGGACAGGAGGGAGAAAGACAGAGAATTTTGCCATCAAAGTTCAGAGACTAATGCTGCCCTCACCGTTCCTGTCCCTCCCAACCCTCTCTACAATAAATACGTCCAGAGTCTGCACACTGTGATATAAAGACGATGTAGTATAGAAATGTACGCTTGAAACCTATGTAATTTTACTAACCATTGTCACCTCAATAAATTTAATTAAAAAAATATGTCCAAAGTCTATGACATGCAAAGCACTGTACAAGGGCTGGGGGAGCGGCTTAGGACATGAACCCTTCTCACGGAGCTTGCATTCTAGCAGAGGAGAAAGACATTAAAACGATTCATTTCCCCATTACTTCTTTAATTACAATTGTGAAGAGGTCCATAAAACAGTACAGGCTGCTGTGAGAACCCATAACTGGGTGACTGTGATGGCCTAGGGCATCTGGAAAGTAATATTTGGTCTGGGTTCTGACGGATGAGTGCTTAGTTGTTACGGTGACCTTGGGCAAGTGATTTATGGTCCCAAAGGCTGGGCTTCCATGTCCATAAAGTGGAAGCCCGCAACGAGTTAGAATCACTTGTGGCCGGAGGTCATTTGGAACAGTCACACTTTCTGAGACTCTCAACTTATGTCCGTCCCCTCCTGATTACAGCTTCCCACTGCCCACCATCAAATCCATACCCCTCAGCCTGGCACCTTTGTCAGCAGTCTGTCCCACGATTACCCTGCGTCATCTGTCTCATCTCCCTGCTTCTCAGGCTGGGGGGCTCAGTGCCCTTGTTTGTTTCTTGGCACCCAAAACACCGTAATCCTTCTCAGAGAGTTTCTACTCATTCTTCAAGGTCAAAGCCAACCCCTCCAGGGGGAAAGTCTTTCCTGATACCTCCCGGACTCCCAGAGCTCTTGCTGCCTGCCCTGGGCTGCGAGGCACCTGCCCATGGTGATAGTACAGTCTCTGTATCTAGACCCCACCTTCCCAGAAGGCAGGGCTGAGTCATCACATGTTGTATTGCCAGCTACAGCATCTGAAACCTGAGGCGGTAGGAAACGTTTTAGTGTCAGAGAGATTTGGGCTTCAATTGGGCTCTGCCATTTAGAGGCTGGGTGGCCTGGGAAAGTTGACCTAACTTCCTGAGCTGCCATTTCCTTCAGCTGCAGGGACCTGGGTCATCTCTTGAGTCCATCTCTTACCAATCTACTGTCTATCTTGCAACCAGAAAGTTCTTCCTAAAGTACACATGTGCCGCCCCACTGCCCTCAGGAAATAGTCCAGACTCACTTAACTTGGGCAGCCTTGTGTCTGGCTGGCGAGTCCCACTCAGGCCCAGCCAGGAAGTGCACATGCTCTTTCTTCTGCCTGGAACATCCTCTTCTCACTCTTTCCTTACACCATCTAGTACTGCCTCCAGGAGGCCTGCTTAGATGACCCCTGCCCCAACCACCAGCCAGGATTGCCACAGCACCTTCTATGTCCCCATCACAGCTCTCACTGCTTGATCATAGCTCATTTACTGCCATGCGTCATCACCGTGACCTCCAGGAGCAAAGAAGCTGAGTCTGCCTTTTCCAAATTTGTATCCCTAAAGCTTGGCACAGCCCCTGACATGCGCTTGGCCCAATTAATGTTTGAAGAAAGAAAGAAAGAAAGAAAGAAAGAAAGGAAAGGAAGGAAAGGAAGGAAAGGAAGGAAGGAAGGAAGGAAAGAAAGAAGGAAAGAAAAGAAAGAGAAGAAAGAAAGAAAGAGAGAGAGAGAGGAAGGAAGGGAGGGAGGGAGGGAGGGAGGAAGGAAGGAAGGAAGGAAGGAAGG